GTGAGGGGAGGCGGGAGCTGGGTGTCGGGCGGCGAGGGAGGAAGGATGGGGAGGGGCGTATCGATTCAAACCCAAACAATAACAAAGCCATCAAAGGCCGCCCGAGGCCGGCTCTGCGGCTCTCTGTTTCTCGGAGGTTTTTGGGTCAAGGGCTCGAGCTGGAGTATAACAAGTTGCGCAGAGACGACGGGCGTTGGTGTGTCAGGCGGGGAGGCCGGCGCGCCGGGGTGTGAGGGACTGTGTGTGGGGATGCCGACGAGGGTGGTCCTTCTGTGTGACTCAGACCCGAGACCTCCAAGTCTGCTTGGGCGGGTTGACGACGCGCTGTGGGCTGGGGTTGGATCCTGGGGAGCCGTGTGTGTGCGGGCGGGGACGAGTGGGGGGCGAACGACCGGCAAGACGTGAGTCACGGCGGTTTCACGGAGGGAGTGGAGGAGTCACAGGCCCGGAACAAAACGGGGGGGAGAACTCGGCTTCTTCGGGAGAGGGGCACAGATCTCGGCTATTACAGCCGCGTAAAAGTCAGCCCCTGGATTCTCGTTTTAGAAACGCAGAAAAGTGTCGGTGAATCCAGATTCCTCAGAAGTGCTGTGTGTCAAAGCGCCCGGGAAAGAGGAAGTCACGAAACAAATGCTAATGTTATGATGCCAGATGCTGCCTCAGCCCTTCTGTGAGGGCGGCAGAGGGAAGAAAATTCCTCATCCGAACGAAGGTGGAGGGCGCGCTCGATTTAACCAGAGTTTTCACGTTATAGTCACCTTCTCATCAGCCTGTTATTAGCAGTCAGGCAGTGGCAGCGGTTGTTGGCTGCCCCCAGCCTTGTCTCAGAGGAAATCCCCTCACCCTCTGCCCCCACTGGAAACAACGCAGAAAACTGAACAATTCCACTTTCATCCTTTGTCCTTTTAAAGTTCACGGAGAGTTGATAACGACGTGTGAAATGAGAAAATGAAAATTCTACCTAATCCATAAATTAAATTGTCAGTGGCCTAAGTAATTGAGAGCTAACTACATTCCCCATTTTCATTTTTTTCAAGTTCCTGCCTTTTAAAGGGAAAACGAGGGTGGTTATAGCTGCAGTCATTAAGGAATTTAAATGTTTCCTTTAAAAGTTTTCTGCAGTGCTTGTTTTATAATGATGCCCAGATACTCCACAACTTTTCTGAATTTGTCTTATAAAATATTACATATTTTTCTTTTGTTTGTGTACCGTGACCTAAATCATTCATTTTTGATGACTGGGAGAAAACCCAAGGGAATGAGAATCATTCCCCTTTTGCAGATAGGAAAATGAAACAGTTGGGATGACACAGGGTCATACAATAGCTAAGGCAGGAGATGAAACTATCCAAATTCAACTCCTGAGTATTCAAAGGTTTCCCCTTATGAGGGTCTAAAACTTCCTTGGCACTGAACAGGACATTGATAAATGCATGCGACTCCCACCTCCATCTCCTCTACCCTCCATTTCCTTTCTCAAGCCCTTAGATCTAGCCAAACGTGACTATCCCCACTTGTTTCCACTCACCTAGCACTTTCCAGACTTTCAACCTTTGCAGAGGTAGTCAACCTGTCCTGGGAGTGCCCTCTCCCCTTCACTTTCATTCAAAGCCTTTCCACTTTCAGGAAACAATTACAGTTCCAGAACAATTTGCAGAACAAACTCCAAGCATTTGTTTACTGTCCTCTCCACTCATCTGAATATTGTGGGGTTTTTAAAAAAATCGTTTTGTTCATTAACTTTTTTTTTCCCCTTGGCAGCTGGCTGTTATGGGGATCTGAACATTGACCTTGGTGTTATCAGCACCATGCCCTCCCAAGTGAGCTAACTGGCCAGCCCATCTTTTCCATTATTTAAATGTTGTCTCCCTATCCCTTGAATGCATACTTCATCCAACATTTGTTGATGGAGAAAACCATAATGGGTTCCAATAACAGGGTCATGATTAAAGTCAATTTATACCAAGTTTAAGTGAATTAAGTGGGTTTAGGCAAAATAAAGGTTGGGAGCAAGAGCTTTAAACTGAGTTAGCTTGGTTTCAAATCTGGAATCTAGCACCCATCAGTTATGTGACATTGGTCAAGCTACTTAACCATTCTAAGCTTTAGACTGAATGGAGATAATAATAGCACCTACCTTATAGGGCTGTTGTAAGGAGCAAATAAAATTCTGCTTGTAAAGACTGAACTTCTAATAAACATTAGCTATTATGGGCCGGCCCGGTGGCGCACTGCTACAGTGTGCAGCTTGGGAATGCAGCGGCGCTCCCGCTGAGGGTTCGGATCCCACGTACAGACTGGTTCCTGCTCACTGGCTGAGCGAGGGGCGGGCGCAACACCGAGGGTTGCGATCCCGTTGCCGGTCCCGGTCCGGTACGGGCACGACACTGAGGGTTGCGATCCGTTGCTGGACATGACAAAAAAAAAAACAAAAAACCATTAGCTATTATGATGGAAATAATGCCGATTGTGAATATGACATTGATGATGAAAAGGAAGACTTTTGGAATGGTTTCACACCTTAAAGATTCCAAAGGTGAAATGCTGGATAAATACAGTAGTTGGATTTTAACCACCTTGGGAGAGAATGTGATTCAAAATACTTATATACATTAAATCAAGTTCAATCTTACCTTTTCACTTTCTCTAGATCTTTGCAGGGCTAAATATTTAATATGTAATATTAAATATTTAATTAGAGCTAACATGATTAAGATTTAAGATATCTGTTTTATATGGTAGGTGCTTCACAGCTAGAAGTTACAAAACATGGACCTTGCTTGGCAAACAGCTTTTATTTACTTAAAACTGCTTTTAAAGATAATTATTAAACATTCAGGTATGTTTTGTGTTAAGTTACTCTTCGAGGGAAAGGAACTTGATGTTTTGATTCATCAAAATATAGTTTTCATAATAAAAAACAAGCACTACTTGTGCTCTTAAAGAATCTAATAAAGAATCCAAAAAATCACAAGTCATCCCAGTAAGTAAATGACAAGTGCTTTTGGGAAGATAAAGGCTGTAATTATGCTAACAGTTCTCTGGAAAGAGGAGAATTTGTTAATATTAATTTGAGCAACATCCAAATACATCCTTAGGAGGTTTCCATATTCTACGTGATGTGGATTTAATCAAGTCATGTCAAAGGAATGACTTCAGCAATTTCTGTAATCACAGAAATTTAGAAGTTTGAAAGGGACCCCTGCACATGGTTTTCTTAAGTACCTCTGAGTATAGTCAATGTTCTTATGTAATGGGGACTGTATAAGCTATAAGCTATTTGCAATTAATCAGGTGGAAATAATTTGGGTCTGCATCACTTTTGTCTCTCCTAAAAAAGATTACTGCATTTTTTAAGTTTAAAGATTAATTTTGAAAAATTCACTATTTTTTATTTTTATTTTTTCATTGTTTGGAAAAGTAAAAAGAAGGAGAATTTTGGAGAAAACTAACTGCAATACACTTCTTTCTATACCTTAAAATATCTTAAAATATTTAATTTGACATGAAATAGTATAAATTTTAAAAGACTGAAGGCTTCTTTTTAAGTTGTAATAATTGTGGTAGTAGTGGGCAACTAGGAAACCCAGAATGTCTCAGCTTCGGAATGGTATGGGAATCTATGTAGTCAAGTTAAAACTGGCTCTTGTCCTTGATAAGATGTGACATTTGTTTCAAGTTTATAAGTCTCTTTTAGCCAGTTTTCAGTTTCCTCAGCAAGGTTGGAGAAGAAAGGGTTTTTATTTTACAGTTAAGTATATTTAAATCCATTCCCAATTCATTTGTCTTTTTAAAAGGAAATAAAAGTAACCTAGATTTATTTTTGGAATTTTACACATTCAGTACTGACAATTTGAGTAAAAATAATCAATATTTATTGAAGTCACTGTACACAAAGATTTTATAGTTCTTGAGTATTGCTGGATAGGTAAAAATCAAAAGGAGTAGCTTAGGCTATAGGAAACATGGGGATTGTTATAAAATACATTATTAGAAGACTAGGAAAACGTATACCTCATATCAAAAAGACCAGGTACATGAACAAAAGCCCTAAGTGTCTAACTGAAAAATAAAAGGGGCCCTTGTATGAGTGCGTGTATGCGTGTCTTTGTAAGAGAGAGAGAGAGAGAATGAGGATGTCCTATACGTCTGGGAGTTGGTGAGGGAACTGTCTGCCATCATTTAAAAAGTGGAATAAAATTGTTGATGTAAGACTTTGGAAAAGCCACAAAGTGCATCTACGTAAGAGAAAAAAAAAATTTGCTCAAAAAAGGTTTCATGAAACATCTTGCTAAGCACTACAAAGATGCTAATGAAAACATTTCTTTATTGTATATCTTATTTGTTATCTGATAGTATACAGCCTCGTTTTTCTGTATTTGTCTTGTCTCTATAACTATATTATATATGTGTTGTGGGCAGAAACCTTCATCCTTTTATTGAATGTAAAGGCTAAGTGCTGAAAATGGGTTGGTGGAAGGAGCAAAAGAGACACTGTACCAACAGCCAACATTGACTGAGCATCAATGATGTGCTAGGCATTGTTCTAAGCACTTTTTATCCTTATATAAATCCTGTGGGGTTGGTGGTTTAGCTCAGTTGGTAACACCAAAGTCAAGGGTTCAGATCTCCATAACGGCCAGCCGCCAAAAAAAAAAAAAAAAAAAGTCCTATGACATGGGTAGTTTTACTATCCTCACTGGTTTACAGATTAAACAAGAGCAGAGAGAAGTAATTTGCTCAAGGCTAAGGGGCAGAGCAATCTCTCACCCACTGTACCATTCTGCTTTTCCAGGGAATTGGAATTTAAGATGAATTTAAGAGATTTAACAAGGTACAGGGGCAGGCAGCTGTGGGGGTGGGGGGCAGAGTGCCCTGGAGTAGGGGCTGTGACGGTATGCGGGGACTGGGCTGCGGCAGCTGTGCTTGGCTGCAGGACTAACAATTTCAGGAAACTGTTAAAGTTCCTGTGGAAGGAAAGTAGAACTTCATACAACATAATGGATGGAGAGGAGAAAACCTACGGTGGCTGTGAAGGCCCTGATGCCATATATGTCAAATTGATATCTTCTTTTTTTTTTCTTTCCTTTTTTTGGTCTTTTTTTTACTGACCGGCAATGGGATCGCAACCCTCGGTGTTGCGCCCGCACCACGCTCAGCCAGTGAGTGGGAACTGGTCTCCACATGGGATCCAAACCCTCGGCGGGAGCACCGCCGCACTCCCAAGCGACGCACTCTCCAGCACGCCACCGGGCCGGCCCTCAAATTGATATCTTCTGATGGTCAAGAATTTATTGTAGAAAGAGAACATGCGCTAACATCAGGAATGATAAAAGCCATGTTGAGTGGTCCAGGTCAGTTTGCTGAAAATGAAACCAATGAGGTCAATTTTAGAGAGATCTCTTCACATGTGCTATCAAAAGTATGCATGTATTTTACCTACAAGGTTCGCTATACTAACAGCTCCACCAAGATTCCTGAATTCCCAATTGCACCTGAAATTGCTCTGGAACTGCTGATGGCTGTGAACTTCCTAGATTGTTAAATAAAATAAATTATAATCAACTGTTTACTTTTTTCAATATTTTTTAAAAAGTGATTTAACAAGGTAATCTATGCTTAAATACTGATGGTATCATCCACAAGGCGAGGGTTCTGGGGAGGCTGAAGAGGTCAAGGAAGGCTCAGAGAATGTAGACCTTTTTTTTTTTTTTTAATAAAGATGACTGGCGAGGGTATCTTAACCCTTGACTTGGTGTTGTCAGCACCACGCTCTCCCAAGTGAGCCACGAGCCATCCCTATATAGGGATCTGAACCCATGGCGTTGGTGTTACCAAAACCACATTCTCCCAAGTGAGCCACGGGCCGGCCCCAGAGAATGTAGAATTTGATGTGGACCTTATTAGAATGAATAGGTAGAAAGGAAAGAGGGACTGGGGTGAGTAAAGTCAGGAATTGAAGCAAAAGAAGCTTTGTGTTATGTTCTTTGTATTCCCCAATACATGTGAAATGAATGAATAACAGTTTCTTTAACTAAATCAAAAGCAGAAAGCCAAAGGGAGAATTCAGTAGGACCTCCCGATGTCATGATGCATAAAGGTGAAAGAAAGAGATGAAAAAGATAATGGACTTTCTTTCAGCCTTTACAGATGAAGAAACTAGGAAGATTCTCTATCCAAATAATCTCTTGACGTTAACAGTTTAGGAATATAGCTTACATGGTGCTTAACACGTAGGGTGTTCAAGTTCCAAATGACGATAAAAACATGAACTAACATGATTGGATAAAATCCACTCGATAATTTGGGGAAACACATTTTCAACATATACTTCCTCTTTTCCCAGTCTGTTTTAGTTCTCTTTTTAGGTGACGTGCTGCTAAAACAAACATGGATAGCTCACCACAGCCAGAACGAGAACAACTTTACTACAAATACAGAACCATTTTCTATGACCTTTGATGAATAACTTTGTCAGAGATTCTCTGAACATCTAAATACAATCTTGTTCATTCTGAGGAACTAGTGAGCTGTGCTGTTCCTTTTATAGAAATGGTATTACTTTTCCCTGGATATGTTAAGATTACTTCAGTGTTCAGTGATGCTACTTTATTACAGAGACACCCACTCGCTGGATGAGAAAGTCAAACTTATCACTGGCAGTCATCAGAGTTATATCTGAAGTCACTCATATGAATGGGAGTTATGTTGGCAAACAGCCAGTCCTTTTTCAGAGCTATAAAACAACACAGATTATGTTCTTTAGCCCAAATTGCATACATGTCCCCAAGTTCAGTCTGTCCTTTGGGCTAACTGAAAGGCCATTTAGGCTTCTTGCAGCTTTCACTGACCACTCCAGCCAACAGTTTTTAAACTTGCAGCAATTATTTATACTAGTAATCTGACTCAATTATATCCTTTTATCTAAGTATTTACTGTCATCATAGCATCATCTTTAAGAACAGCAAGCATTGAGTGTCCACCTTGAAAGGACCCATGTTTCCCCAATGAGAATTTTTTTAAGACCACATAGCTCCCTTTAGGAGATGCTAAATAGATACTTTTAAAAACAGAATTGAGGGCCGGCCCTGTGGCGCACTAGGGAGAGTGTGGCGCTGGGAGTGTAGCGACGCTCCTGCTGGCGCAGGTTCGGATCCTATATAGGAATGGCCGGTGCACGCTCACTGGCTGAGCGCGGTGCAGGTGACACCACACCAAGGGTTGCGATCCCCTTACCAGTCACGAAAAAGACAAAAAAAAAAACCCAGAATTGAACCCAAAGGAGAACATATCTAAGATACTATGAATTTCCCCTGCCTCAATCTTTGCCCCTGCCATCTTTATTATATGTTGTAATGAAAAGACAGATGGCTGTTTGCTCTTTTAAAAATACAGACCTCAGGGCCGGCCTGTGGCTCACTTGGGAGAGTGCGGTGCTGATAACACCAAAGCCAAGGGTTCAGATCACTATATAGGGATGGCCGGTTAGCTCGTTTGGGAGAGCGTGGTACTGACAACATCAAATCAAGGGTTAAGATCCCTTTACCGGTCATCTTTAAAAAAAGAAAATACAGACCTCAGAGTCTGCACATGGGCTCCACCGTGTTGACTCTTGTAGGTCATGTGACTGCTGCCTTGGCCTTCGGCCCTTGTGAGGACTCAGCCCTTCAGTATCGCTACCCCAAGTTACTGTGGGCTGCCCTGGCAGCAGTCCAGCTTGCCAGAGACTATGTGGTACAAACATCTTCATCTAAAGCAGGCACCACCACTGGGCACATCATGGCCATCACCAGTGCGGTGGTGGATGTCCAGTTTGATAAGGGATTACCACTGATCCTAAATGCCCTGGAAGTGCAAGGCAGGGAAACCAGGCTGGTTTTGGAGGTGGCCCAGCATTTGGGTGAGAGCACAGTAAGGACCATTGCTTTGGATGGTACAGAAGGCTTGGTTAGAGGCCAGAAAGTCCTGGATTCTGGTGCACCAATCAAAATTCCTGTTGGTCCTGGGACTTTGGGCAGAATCATGAAGGTCATTGGAAAACCTGTAGATGAGAGAGGTCCCATCAAAACCAAACAACTTGCTCCTATTTGTGCTGAGGCTCCTGAATTCATGGAGATGAGTGAGGGGCAGGAAATTCTGGTGACTAGTATCAAGGTTGTGGATCTGCTAGCTCCCTATGCTAAGGGTGGCATAAGTGGGCTCTTTTGGTGGCACTGGAGTTGGCAAGACAGTACTGATCATGGAGTTAATCAACAATGTCACCAAAGCCCATGGGGGTTACTCTGGATTTGCTGGTGTTGGTGAGATGACCCAAGAGGGCAATGACTTATACCATGAAGTGACTGAGTCTTAGTGTTATCAATTTAAAAGATGCTACCTCCAAGGTAGCACTGGTATATGGCCAAATGAATGAATCACCTGGTGCTCGTGCATGGGTAGCCCTGACTGGAATAATTGGCTGAATATTTCAGAGACCAAGAAGGTAACAATGTGCAGTTGTTTATTGATAACGTCTTTTGCTTCACCCAGGCTGGCTCAGAGGTGTCTGCTTTATTGGGCAGAATCCCTTCTGCTGTGGGCTATCAGCCTACTCTGGGCATTGACATATGGGTACTCTGCAGGAAGGAATCACCATCACCAAGAAGGGTTCTATCACTTCTCTACAGGCTATCTATGTGCCTGCTGATGACTTGACTGACCCTGCCCCTGCCACTTCCTTTGTCCACTTGGATGCTACCACTGTGCTGTCCCATGCTATCACTGAGCTGGGCATCTATCCAGCTGTAGATCCTCTAGACTCCACCTCTTGTATCACGGTTCCTAACATTGTTGGCAATGAGCATTATGATGTTGCCCACGGGGTACAAAAGACCTTTCAGGATGACCAATCGCCCCGGGACATCATTGCCATCCTGAGTATGGATGAACTTTCTGAAGAAGACAAGTTGACTGTGCCCCGTGTGCGGAAAATAAAGTGTTTCTTGTCTCAGTCATTCCAGGTTGCTGAGTTTTTCATGGGTCATGTGGGGAAGGTAGTACCTCTGAAGGAAACCATCAAAAGATTCCAGCATATTTTGGAAGGTGAATATGACCATCTTCCAGAACAGGCCTTTTATATAGTGGGACCCATTGAAGAAGCTGTGGCAAAAGCTGATAAGCTGGCTGAAGAGCATTCGTTGTGAGGGATCCTTTTGGCAAACTAAGCACTCATCCTCTGTACTGTTCTTTTTTTTTTTTTGTCTTTTTCGTGACCGGTAAGGGGATCGCAACCCTTGGTGTGGTGTTGCCCACACCGTGCTCAGCCAGTGAGTGCACCAGCCAGTCCTATATAGGAACCTCTCCCAAGTGCGCCACGGGCTCGGCCCTGTACTGTTCTTTTCCTTGCCCCTAATCTAAAAAGTGTTCTGTGTAAGCTACACAGGAGCCTTGATTTGAAGACATTATGTTTTGTATAAAGAGTATTTAAGGTTTCCAATAAAATGTACACCCCTCAAAAAAATAAAATAAATAAGTAAATAAAAATACAGACTTTAGAGCTGACCAGTTAGCTCAGCTGGTTAGAGCATGGTGTTGTAACACCAAGGTCTAGGGTTCAGAACCCTGTATAGGCCAGCCGCTAAAAAAAAAAAAAAAAAAGAAAAGAAAAGAAATAATATAGACTTCAGAACAAATTTTTGCCTTTTTCTGAAAAGCACTTCTATAAATTAAGATTGCCAGATTCCTAAGCCAAAGGCTTAGAGAAGTAGGTACAGTCTAATTTGTAAAGAGATAATATCTAATGTTAATTGAGCATTTACTATGTGCCAAGCACTATTCTAATTAATCACTTTATGTGCCATAATACATATTCATATATATATATATATATCCATATGGCACATATAGATATATTTTTTTCTTTAATCTTCTTAATTATTATTATACCCAGGAAGGTAAATAACTTGCCCAAGGTCAACCGGTGAGAAGGACACAAGCCCTAATTCACGGACCTTGTATGGGGTAGTTCTTTGTGTGTTAGAGGTCATAGAGCACAGAAGGCTAAGAGCCAGTTTAAACAAAATCAGGAAGCAAAGTAATGAATGGAAAGACCATGGAGTCAGTGGATAATTTCCTTCAATATTGTGCCCAAGAGAAATGAATGGGGATTGGAATAATGTTAAAAGTTGATAGTGTGGGTGAGTGGTGACAAAGAGGAATGGCTGCTGAAAATGTGAGTTTCTAGTGGCTGGGCATATGGGGTAAGGGTTTGCCTTGGGGTAAGGGGAAGCTATAATCTTTATTGCAGTGACATAAGAATCTCTTGTGTCTTGCAGCAGTATTGACTGATTCAGTCAATTAATTAATAAACATTTGCTGAACAGTTACTATGTTCAAGATAGTATGCTAAATACGATGGAGATACATAAGAGGCAAAAGACATGGTCCTAGTTCCTGCTTTAGGATCTTATAGATATATTAGATATATAGAATCATAAAGATTTAGAGCTGTAAGGAAACAAAGATTTTTCTCATGGAATCTCTTTATTTTATAGATGACCAAAACCC